TTTTTAATGGAAAACAATCTTAAGCATGATTTGATAAGTGTCGTTTTTATACCATTTATGTAGACTTGGTTTTCGTTACAGCAGCCGTAGAAAATCTGCAGTAATATTTGATATTATCTGTAATAACAGAACCAGTTTGTTGCTTAAGTTAAGGGACATTTATTTGTTGTTTTGAACTGGTTAATTTTCTAGATTTGATGAATTTTTAAGTATCTATTTTATGACAGTAGAAAGGTAAATTAGGTATGATCTCTACTTTAGAATTCAGCAATATATAAAGCATTGTTTTTCAGGAAAGGCATAATGAAGTACATGGAAACAACAAACACTTGTATTCTTACCATGGACCTTGGTCCTATGCTAAAGTGCTTGGCATGCATTATTTTATTTAACCTTCTCAGTAACTCATGAGATAGATACTAATCATTAGGTACCGTCTTCAAAACAAAAAAGAAATTAAGGAAGTGATTTGCCTGTCATCACATGACTAATAAATAGCATTGAGGATTCAGTCCTCTAATCTGATTCTAACCCTAGAAACAGAGGTATATCTAAACCGCTACTGTATTTACTACATTGTAGAAAGAATACAAGCTTTAGAGTGTGATTTGGTTTGAAACCTGGCTGTGTTACTTATTAGTTCTCTGTTCTGAGATAAGTTACTTTAACTTCATTTTCTTATCTATCTAAAAACATGTGATTGATGATAATACCTACCCTGTAAGATTTTTGTGAAGATTAAAGATAATGTGAGAAAAATGCCTACCATAATACCTGGCTGATACTAGGTAATCTGTAAATGGTAGCTGTATTATTAACACCAATCCTTTTTTTAAAAACTTTATATTTTGGTATCATTTTAGATTTCAGAAAAGTTCCCATAGTACAAAGAAATCCCATATACCCTTTACCTAAGTTCCCCAAATGTTAACATTTTGCCACGTTTGCTTTTTTACAGTTTATTTTCTGAACTACTTGAAAATAAGTTGCAGACCTGACGCCACTTTATCCTAAATATTTC